TATTTGAACACGTATCTTCTGAAAGTTAGCAAATAACAGCAAGCATCTCTGCACACTCAGCGGCAGCCGCTTTATAAATGTGTCTTCAAATGTTCAACTTTAAATTTTCTTCGTCGTTTAATTTGATTCTGCACTTCATAGATGCTTTTTCGTGATTAAGAAGACCCAAAAACAGAAAAAAAGTATGTGTTGCCACTGACGGCATTCGAACCCAAACCTGCTGGAAGCCACACGAGTATCGTATGCGACGATTCGAGCCCAGTTTTTTAGTTGGATGTCGAATTTTGTATAAGGAGATTACCAAACACAAAGCATTTTTTTGTAGGACACAGCATGTCCTAATTTTTACAAGCCCTAAACTGTCAGATACAATTTTGTATATACATATTTCTCGCTTGGATATACATAAATGCGCATACATATGTATTTACTGATATGTATGTACATGTATGTACGTACGTGTGTAATTGTATTACCTACGTTAATTTTTCCACAATACTCTTTAATTATTGCAGTGCTTATTCGTCCATACTTTGAAGTGAAGGAAGTCGCAGAGAGAACGTATTAAACAAAGTAGTCGTAACCAAAATGTCGGGAGCTGTTTGCTTCCTGTTGCTGTTGCAATTGTTTTGCGCGGCATGTGGCGCGTGGGTAGAGCACTCGCCCTACTCCTTACAGGCGGCAGTTGATGAGCTGCATCGTCGAGAATCCGACAAATATCCATTGAATGCACCACCTTCACAAAATTACTTTACTGGGGCATTGGATTTGGGTGGCGAACAAGATTACTGGGATGATGGTGAGTAAATACAAACAATGAACAAATAGGCGCATCTAAATTGTTGAGTTACTTTGTGGGCAGGTGAAGAAAATATCGCCGAATCGGCAGCCCTATTTAGTCAATTCAATTCAATTCAATTCGATTCATATTAATTTCAGTCTATGATTAAAAATCTTGCAGACTAAATTACACAGAGTGCAAACATAAGTTTTATAAGTGAATAATATTAACATAACAGTAGTTGATAACCTAACCAAAGAGCAAGCGTGGACTTTAATAAAAATCTTGATGATGAAAATTCAATATGCAAGGAAAGGATGTGGCTCCGAGCTAAACTATTCTAGTTCCGTTTTTTTTTTTTAACAAAGAAGAGAATGAAACATAGGGCTATCATAGAGTGTGTCGACTCATTCCTATACAAGATTATTAAACAGTCACTTAAGAAATATAATTTTTAGAAAAAAGCGAGGAATCAGTAATTTTATTTCCGTTATCGATTTTATGCAATTACGTATGTGGACTATCTTATGGATGTACTCTTAGTTATTCAAACATGTGTTTTGCTTTATTTTGTCCCACACATAATCCCATAGTTATATAAGTATATACTTACTTATATAATATTACATATGTATGTAGGTGAAAATACAAAAAGTCTCCGTCAGTATATACTATAAACACATATGTATGTATATGTATTACCGGCTCACACACTTAGATCGTGAGTCTCATGACCAGGGAACGGATTTTTAGAACCTAAAAACCTATAAAAAAGCAAAATAAAATAGCGAAAAAGGCAGGAAAAGGCACTAGGTATTGCAAAAAAGGCAAAACGAAATAGCGAAAAAGGCAGGAAAAGGCAAAAAAAAGGTATTGCAAAAAAAGCAAAATAAGGCACTAAAAAAGACAGAAAATACGAAGAACAATCAAAAAATATATTTATTTTAGAAATGTTTATATTACAAGTAAAAAGAGAAAAACTATGAACTAGTTTCATTATATGAAAAATTTGTACTTTGAATCTTTGACTATTTTATCCTTTCGAGTTTCCAACTCATAAAACTTTAATCTGTATAGTTGCAGTAACATTGAACCACAAGATGCATTTTGAAGTTTTCTGGCAGCATTTTCATTCGATTTTCGCGAAGAAAAGCCTCGAATGTACTAAATGTGCGCTCGAGGTAAGTTGATACAAGTGGAGCCCAATTTAAATATGGAACGTTTGAAACGTTCATATTATCAGGAATAAGGGCGTTTTCTTCGCCTTTTACAACTTTATCCACTCCCCTTATTGTCCCCAAGCCTACGTTAGCTGAGAAAACGGCTTTGAATTTTTTCAACACCAATTTGGCAAGAGGTCCCTGCGCTTCTATAAGCCGCATGGGCATGTGTATATTTTTTAATCTTAAAAAAAAAAATTGGAAATGCTATAATCACTTTTTTAAAGGTAGAAAAGGCAAAAAAAGGCAAATATCTTAAAAAAGGCAAAAAAAGGCAACATCAAATGTGTATATATGGAATCAGGGAAAGCTAAATCGTGGACATTCTTAATCGAATATACTCTATCTCTTTAGCAGAAAAAAGGCAATTTCCATAAAATCCGTTCCCTGCTCATGACCATTCGTACCGACTTTGAGGAAATTGTCCAGCTGAATATTTTTTTAAAGTCGGGACGTATAAGTGTCCCGATTTTTATGTTTGTACCGATTAAATCCCGATTTTCAGTCTTTTCTTTTTTAGCCTTATTTCCTGTGATCTTTGGTTATGTTTTATTCTGTCAATAGGGACACGATATCAAATCGAAAGTATCGATATGGTACTCATTTAAAGTATCGCTCTAATAATATCGGGTACCCATTAATATCGCAATAAAAAGACTCGATATCCCAAATATCGATACCAAAATCAAAAAAAAAACTGAATATTGGTGTCGTATGTAGGCCGCTGTGGTGTTGTGATTAGAAACCTCCGAGCGTATTTCTGCCACGAAAAACAGCTTCTCATAAAAAGTACAATCGCCGTTCAGAATCGGCGTAAAACATTAGGGACGCCCTTTGTGGCACAACATCAAGGTGCACGCAAGAAATCGCAGGAGAAGCTCGGCCAAACACTAACATATTGTATAAGCGCCGATCTACTATTATTATTAAACCACGTAGAGATTGAGGTGTTAACTCAAAACACCGAGACAGCGTGATCAAATCCCGCCACATGCAATCCTAACGATAGTAAAAAATTTCTGCAAGAATTGATAATCACATTATCTTTGTAATTTGAAGTCTAGAAAAAAGAAGTCTGATGAGGAGATGTGGTGATCTCCGAAATAGCTGCTATAACTTCTACCGCTTAGACTTTGTTGATTTTTCAATTTTTCCTAATAAACAATCCTGGTATAAAGCTCAATAAAAATATTAAAAAATAAAAGAGTTTATGACATTCGATACGATACTAGGGTTCAGATACTCGATTCCAAAAAATATCGTTTTAAAACTATCGAGTAAAAAATATCGGTATCGAATGCCAAAAGTATCGATATGGTATCGTATCGTATCGTATCGAAATTCGTGTCCCTACAAGTATAACATGAGTTCGACATTTGATTATTTTTCTTTTGTTGGTTTAATGTTCATTAATTTTTTTATAAAAGCATAGCTCATTATACATAGAACAAGCGTACGAATACTAATTTCAAACTTTGAACGAAAATTAGAAAAAATCTACAAACTTCAACGAAATTGCATCAAAGTTTCAAACTTTTTAATCAGAACTAAAAAAAATCCGGGTTTCTTTATATGGATGAAATTATCACTCACGAACTTGCCATCAAACAAAAAATGTGTGCAGTTTTACAATTCGGGTTGCATTTTTAGACAAAGTTGTGTATTACAAAACTTGAAAAATGTTTTAGCTAATTTTCATTTTGAACCGAACCAAACCATTCGTTGGAGTGATTTTCGGTTCGGTTTTATTTCAAAAGAAAAACGGTTCGGTTCGTGGTTCGGTTTGCAGCCCTGGTTTTAACTGTCCAAATTGACTCTTCCGAAAAACTCACAGCATTTTTTCGGTGAGCTTTGCACTCGGTGTACACTGCATTTGGTCAAAGTTACAGAATCCAGCCTCAGGAACATAGTGTGAAATGAAACTGTGAAAAGATATCGTTTCATTTCCATTTTATTTTTCATGTAAACCATTTTGACAGTTCTATTCATTTTTCCATCGAACGCGAATCGGAAGTGTCATGTAAACGGGGAAAAAACGATTAATTTCATCGTTTCACAGGTCGGTAATTGACCCCCAGGTTTGTATATTTGACTTTTCACACCAATGGAGGAGTCTAAAGTTTTGGTTCGCAGATGGTTTTTATAAACATAACAAATAGAAGTCAACAATTACAATGATTTAAACGTTTTATATAAAAGTCCGATTTCCCCCTAAAAGTACCTTATGCATCTGCCCATACATGCTAATGTACATACATATGTACATCTCCCTACTTGATTCTTTTATCACGTGACCAACTAAATATACTCGTCCTGCACTTATACATCATATATTTTCCATTTACAGACTCTGATCTCACCTCCAACACATATAACAAAAACCGCAATCGTCACAAATTAAATAAGGCTCTTGCCAAGTATTTGGAACAAGAGAGGTTCCAAACTAATAACGATGGCCTTGGCCTAGGACCTTTTGGGGGATACGAATTCGATGAAGATAGTAGCAATCAGTTTGTCGTAGAACCCGACGAAAAGAAACGTTCATCATACTTTAGAGAGCGTGATAACAAATATGGTAAGTGAAGTACATACATTGCAAAATATTTAAAGTCCAAAATACAATAACGTAGTGGCAGTTTTTCGAAATCAGCTGTTTTTTGGAAAGTGTGCTGTCCAATGACGCAACACACAATGCAGAAGCGGCAGCTAGCAGTACTGCTCAGTTTATCCCATATTCTAAATTCACTGCCTTCAAAATATATCGCGTCTCTAAGATAATTCTTCTCACTGTTTCAAATACTTACAGCAATTTAGGAGTATTTCACTCACAAATACACCTACAGAAGAATTATAAATTCATTCAAAGATAGTTTAAATTCGGTACGTTTGTAGGCCCCACGCCCTCTTTTCAAATAACCCCATCTTCTCCATGAGTATGGGCTTGATTTCATATACATATCTCCACACCAAGCTCCAGTCCTCTACCACGAGCACTTGCAGAGATATGCACGCCCCCTTTTCCAATAGTCCGAAATTTTCTTTAAGAGTATGCAACTGATTTCATATAACGCCATACCAAGTTCCAGTATTCTACCATGAACATTCCCTGAGGTATGCAGTATGAAAAATTCGGATTGTATGGGAGGAGCCACGCCTCCTTTTCAAATGACCCCAATTTTTCTCTATGAGATCTCCGTACCTAGTTCTAATATTCTATCATGAAAATTTCCAGAGATATGCTTGTACCACGCCCCCTTTTCCAATAGCTCAAATTTTTGTCCAAGAGTATGCGATTGATTTCGTTTATCTCCATACCAAGTTCCACAACTCTACCATGAACACTTCCAGAGATATGCAGTATGAAATATTCGGTTTGTATGGGAGGAGCCACGCCCCCTTTACATATCGACATCTTTTTTAGCCTATAATCATCCTTGGGACGTGGGCGGCAGGTGTCCGAAGTTTCAAAAAATCGGTTCAGCCGTTCTCGAGCATAGCGAACACAAAAAACGGCTTGCCAAATAAATATTAGTATAGATAATACAATGTATGTATACGGAAAAAATCGTCAAAATCTATGCTGTATAAGCTTTACATCCTATACCAGGGGTTCTTAAACTTTTAAGATGATGGAACCCTTACTAACTACATTTCATTTTATGGAACCCCGCTTCAAATTACTAAAAATCAAAGGCAGAGAAATTTAAATATGATTAAAAACTTTTACTAGAAATAGTACACATACTTTAAATTTTAATGTGAAGAATGAAATTGTTCAAATTTCACAAAAATACAGATTTATATGAACACATACAAATCTTTCAAGTTAATTTGTGCACAGTTCTATATTGTCTGCACAGCTGCTTTTTGGTTTAAGTGCGCTAAAAAAAAAAATGTACTTCTATTAAGATTTTTATTTTCATATTTTGTAGAA